CCTTCATTTTTCTATCACTGGTTTCCTCTCTTTTCCTGAGCTATTACAGCTATCACATGTCCAAACCTAATGATTTTATCAGCCCATGAAAATGTTTGGCATTTGGCTCTAGCATTCCTTAGTTGTTTTGAACCCAAAATTCAGCTGTCTTCACTGGCAAAAGGTAAGAACAAGGTCTTAGAAAGCTACACTTATAACTTCAGGCTTTTCAGATTAGTTAAACTCAACCAATATTAATATAAAATTAAATAAATTAATATGCTTTAATGCCCAAGTAAGTGTTGTCAGCATTTAGTTGTTAGGGGGATTTAGTTTAATGTGCTTTACCTATAGAATAGCCTGAGCTCATTCCTTAAATCTCCAGGCAAAGAAAAAAATTATTACCGTATCTGAAACTTTGGAGAGCTGCTGCCAACCAGTACTGACAATATTGTGCTAAATGAATCAGTTTATACCTTGCCTTTCCTCCAAAACCTGTAACAATAAAAAGGCTAAAAGTGATGAAATACACATTATAATGAATTCATAATTAATTTTAATCTTAATCTAAAAATATTTGCATTAAAAACACAGTTAAGAATGCAAAAGTAAAAAGACCTCTGGTTATACTCCTTACAGCTATAGGGTAGCTTCATGTTGTTGTTGTTGCTGTTGTTGTGTGCCTTCAAGTTATTTCTGATTTATGGCAACCCTTTCACAGATTTGTTCTGTGGCAAGATTTGTTCAGAGGAGGTTTGCCATTGCCTTCCCCTGAGCATGTGGCTTTCCTAAGGTCACCCAGTGGGCTTCATGGGCCAAGAGGGGAGTCAAACCCTGGACTCCAGAGTCATAGTTCAAAACTCAAACCATTGCATCACACTGGCTCTCACAAGGTAGGTTACATGCATGCCAAAGGACTGCCTTGTCTGCTGGCAGAGGGAAAGCAAGTCTAGCTTCTCTATGGACATTATCACACGTGGACCAGAAAGTGAAAATAGAAGTGGAAATGAGGCATTACAAAAATAAACTGAAAATAAACTTGTTTCCGCAAACGTCATTACCTTACTTGCGAATTTACAGCAAGTGCAAAGAACGTCCACACACTAGCGAAAATATCCCGTAAATGTAGTAGAAATTAGCCTCTTGCACATGCGCAGATAGAGGAATGAGCCTCTTGCACATGCGCAGATAGAGGAATGCTTGCGGGAACCATGGGTAATGATGGGGAAATGATTCCCCAATACGTATTTGGCGATCACATTTACGGTAAATGCGGAATCACCCTCATCACGCAATTGCATTTCCTGAAGAAACCGAAATTCAAAAGATCTCGGATCTTTCCACTTTCTGTCGGGGTTCTGTTGGGGTTCCGTGTGACGTCGTGTGAAAACACGGGCCAATAATCCGGTATCGTTTGGGATTTCGTGTGGATTTTGTCTGGATTGGGCCCCGTGTGATAATGTCCTATGTAAGAAGTTCCAAATTCTGGAAGTGGCCCTTGGGACGCCAGTTGTGCCTCATGGCAAGAGAACTAAATCCCTTGAAGATTTAAAAACATGAGCAGCTGATTTTGGAGAATACAGGCATAGGTTCCACATCCATTAGTATTTGGTTGTGTTCTAAAATATACACACTGTGTGAGAAGTGGGTTGGGTCAGGTTGCACAAATATGTGCAGTTTTAGTAGTCAAAGGGCCTTTGCAGACTGCCAGAAATAGTGCAAATTGAGTACACTTTAACTGCCTTGACCCAGTGCTAGGGAATCATGGGAACTGTAGTTTATTGTGGCACCAGAGCTCTCTGACAGAGAAGGCTCAATGACTCAGAAAAAAATACAATTGCCATGATTCCCTAGCACTGAGACTGGGCAGTTAAAGTGGACTCAATTTGCACGGTTTCTAGCAGTCTGCAAAGGCCTAAAGCCTGCTTCACCTTGGAGTATCAGATCCCATGTGTCCATAGTGCTGAAAATACCCCCCCCAAAAAAAAACCATCCTGCTATCTCTGGCGCTTATTGGCTTCCATGTTGACAGCCTCAGAAGAAGTGCTTTGACACAAGCAGAGCAATTCATCTACTATACCTTCTTCCCTCATCCCCTTGACAAATGTGGCTCAGACACATTGACTGGAAACACTGCACTGTGCCTCTGTTTTGCTAAACCTAATTTGTGTACAGAGCTGGAGCCGTCGCCTCCAAGGATATCAACTCAGCAACTTTCACAAGAAGAACTAATATTCACTTGAAAATGGCGAGGGGAGGGGACTGTTACAAGAGAAGTAATTTACACCTGTGGTGTCTTAAGGTGCCAAGTAGAGATGTTCAGGGGTAGAGTGGAAAGGCACAGGTACACTATGTACTTTGTGGCTGCACTGGATTTTTTACCATTATTGTTTACTTATGTAGAGATAGACAATTGCTGTTGTGTGCTGTGTCCATTGTCAAGGCTAATGCAGTCACAGTTAGCTATTTTGTGCAAATGTGCCTTTAAGTTGTCTGCTGACTTATGGCGACCTCATGAATTTCATAGATTTTCTTAAGCAAGGAAAATGTGGTTTTGCCAGTTCCTTCCTCAGCACCTGGCAATCATTGGCAGTCTCCCATCCAAGTGTTAACCAGGCTGACCCTATTTAGCTTTCAAGATTAGCTGTTGCCTGATGTCTCAGAATTATGGGTTCGTTGTTTATACTGATGCAAACGCAAATTTAAAAATATATTAGGCTAGATTCCTCTTCCCAAAGAAATTACAAGAAAAGCATTATTTCTCTCATTGTGAGGCTCAATGCAAGTCTTGTTTGGAATCGTGTTTCCCATCTTGGTCCTCCATGTTTTGGAGGTAGGTGAATTCAAGCTGAAAGAAATGAAAACCATAGTAATGGAGGACTAACTGGGCAGTGCCTGATCAGTTCATTTATTTCAACCCATTAACATTTAAACATATTTTGATTTTTATAATTATTTTATTTATAATTTACAGTAGTTTTCGTGGGGTATCTGTTCCGGACACCACCACCCCGCTAAAATGGAAACTTGCTGATATTCAAGCCCCATTGTCTTGAATGGTGGCACATGCCTATGCAACCGTCCCATTATGTCCCCCTCCATTTCCTGCCCGTGGATAGGTGCGGGATGCGGATTTGGAGTCCACAAAAATGGAGGGCCAACTGTATATATCAGTGGTAGGCAACCTTTTTGAACCGGGGGCTGGGTTGTTGTCCCTCAGACAATTGGGGGGGCCAAAGCACCCAAAATAAATAAATAAATAAATAAATAAATAAATATTTTTTAAAAAAAAATGAAAAAAATATGCATGCACACTCTCTCAGCCCCAGAAAAGCCATGGCAAAACTCCTGTGGAGATTTTGTCAAGAAAACCCCAAGAACAAGTAATAACAACAATAATCAATATCATCATGGCAGGCGGTGGCGGCGGCGACAGGACTGGCCTGGGGCTGGTCCAAAGGCCTTGGGGGGGCCGCATCCAGCCCCCAGGCCTTAGGTTGCCTACTCCTGGTATATGTAATTGTGTATGTGTGTGTTATGTGCATTCAAGTCCCTTACCCAGCATATGGTGATTCTGCTTATTGCATGGCTTTTAAAACCATCTTACCTTTCCTGACTTAAATTTTAATTCAGCTGGCATCCTGATACTATTGCAGTGATTTTGCCACTGAATCCTCCACCCGGGTCCATCCCCGCTCCCAGGAGCACTCTGGTGGCCATTTTCTTAAGCCGGAAATCTCCTGGTTTTGAAAAGAGGCGCACTGAGCGCCCCTGGGAGCAGGGATGGACCTGGGATGGACCCAAGCAGTGGATTTGGTGGCAAAATTGCTGCAATAGTATCAGGATACCAGCCGAATTAAAATTTGAGTCAGGAGAGGTAAGACGATTTTAAAAGCCATGCAACAAGAGGTAATCGTCTTACCTCCCCTGACTCAAATTTTAATTCAGCTGGTATCCTGATACTATTGCAGCAATTTTGCCACCAAATCCACTGCTTGGGTCCATCCCGGATCCATCCCTGCTCCCAGGGGTACTCAGTGAGCCTCAAGGTATCATAGGGTTTTCTTGGCAAGATTTGTTCAGAGGAGGTTTGCCATTGCCTTACCCTGAGGCTGAGAGAGTGTGACTCCCAGTAGGCTTCCATGGCTGAGCTGGGAATTGAACCCTGGTCTCCAGAGACAAGTCCAACACTTCAACCACTATGCCACACTGGCTCCCCTTGTATGTAATTAGTTTATCTTTTTTTGATGGACTTTAAATATTGGATGATTTCCCCCCATTATTAAATCTAGTAGGTTTATTGTTGAGGCTTGCTGCCTTTTTTAGTTGACATATTGTTGTGGAATTTGGTTATTTGTATTTTATTGTTTTGCAATAATTATATGTAATTACTTTTTTTTGCTGGATCAAATGTAGTTTTAGGTCTAAAGAGATTCCATAAAGAGTGTTGCATGAACAGGTTGTTACAAATGAAAAAGTTCCTTTTCCTGGTCATTGCAACTTGCGGGAAGAGGCAAAGCAAGGATTCTCCTTTAGACCAGGGGTAGGCAACCTAAGGCCCGGGGGCCGGATGTGGCCCCCCGAGTTCTTTGGACCGGCCCCAGGCCAGTCCTGCCGCCGCCACCACCACCACCACGATGATACTGATTATTGCTGTTATTACTTGTTCTTGGGGTTTTCTTGGCAAAATCTCCACAGGCATTTTGCCATGGCTTTTCTGGGGCTGAGAGAGTGTGCATGCATGTTTTGTATTTTTTTTAAAAATTTATTTATTTATTTATTTATTTATTTATTTATTTTTGGTGCTTCGGCCCCCCAATTGTCTGAGGGACAGCAACCCGGCCCCCGGCTCAAAAAGGTTGCCTACCCCTGCTTTAGACATTAAGTCTTAGGCTGACTGTGCAGAGTCACAATCTTTAGCATTTTATAACATTAATTTGAAATCTTACTTGTTAATGTTAATTATAAAATTAATTTGTTATGATAATTGTTAATAACATGCCAATGCAATGTTGCACTCCATTTAAAGAAATAATTAAAATTACCAAAAGGTGACCCAGCCCCACAAAATCACCATGACAAGCAGTTAATTAAAATAATGTGAACTATTGTTACTCAGCCCATTAACATCATTGTCATTTAATGATTAAAATAACAACTTTAAAGATTTTAAATAGGAATACAAGCCTCCTTACCACAGTGAGGAAGCCTTGCAAAAGGGCAGTCTGCTTTCCTGTTTTTTGTACTGGTTTCCAGGTGCTCTCGAGTGTGGATGAACAACTTCAAGGCTCCTGTTGATCTCCTTTCTTATGGGTTTCTTTTTGTCTCCAAACTGGATTTGCACTGGACAGTCATTCAAACAGAAGGGATACTTCTATAAGGCAGGACACATGAACATACAGCATATGTGTGATTTCGAGGAGCTAATATGTTCGAGGAGCTAACATGCCATGGAATTGCTCCTAGGCAATGATCAGCAATGGTCACCTTTCAGTCTCTGCATATAAGAAACCAGTGTGGCTCCCCATCCAAATGTTCTCTCCTTCAAGGATATAAAGCAATAGATGTCTACTTCTCTTCTAATGCCCAGTGTAAGAAGCTGTTTCTATCCGCTTGTGAAACTCTTATCTTGTACTAGAAGATGTATTTGTTTTTCTACATTTTTTGTTGACGTTTGTATTTTGTAAAGCACTTTGAGGACATGTTGTGTGAAAGGCAGTCTACAAAATCCCACTGAAGGTAGCCTGCTGTATAACTTTGTACATGGCAGCAGGGGGGCACTTTTAGAAGACTGATGCTCAAGTGCACTTGACAGACTGTACCAGCTTCTGCAGTGAATACAAGGCTGCCGTCACAGTATCAATGGAAAGCTTTCCCCCTCTAAAGCCAGATTAATACTCCCTCTCCCTGCCAGTTCAATTGAATTCTCAAGACAAATTAGCTTTCATTTTAAAAGCAAGTTTGGGAGGAAAAGATTCTCTCTGATCCTGCCCTAAAATGAGGATTTTGCCTCTATGAAGTGGGAGAAGAAAGGAACAATAAAATCGCAGTAATACAAAATGAAAATAACACCTCTATTTTCTTCAAAAATCTACGGATTATCTTGCTTAGAGAGCATGAAAACAGTGCAGATGACAGTTCCAAGCTGAAAAACATTCTAGGATCCCAATGATTTCCATATGTTTTGACACACTCTTGACTGCTTGCATGCTTGTGGGCCCTTTAAAGAGACAATGGGGAGACAATTGTCTCAAGGTGTCCTGTGACTGCAGTTGTTATTTCCCAACACCTCAATCTGCAGTACCTTGGAAACCCTTCAATTGGAGCACTGCCAGGCTGAAAGGATAACTTTTGGGGTGGAGGTCACGTTCAGTCACTGAGAATTGTAAACCTGACACCCAACAATTACGAGGTTGTAAATCTAGCTTGTGATCTTATAACTAGTATACAGGATGTCTAATGTTGGAAAGAGAGGGAAGAGGAAAATAGCTTCAGGTAAGAGTGATGTAGGAAGTGAGGGTATGGAAAAGATAAAAGGTTGTTGTATAAGAGGCAAGCCCCAGAAGGTGTCAGTGCTCACAGGTGTCATAGGAGAAAAATAAGAAAAGGCTTTCATATTTAGATTGAAATCTGTAGGAGTGGCTATGAACCTGTATCTCCTCTTTGGAGGCCTCAGTTGTTTTTTCTTCAAAGTCATATGTTGCTTTGTGCAATGTTAGTAGAAGATCTCTGTATGTAGTGTTTCTCAAATTCACAACAGGCAAAACACTGTCTAAATCTGATGATGATTATTTGATGTTTTTAATTTGTTGCTTTCCTTGTATTAATATGTATTTTATTATTTTGTAGAATGTATGCCATCGGCAGGCTTTTTTTAAATTTATTTTTAATCTATTTTATTGACTGTATGTACAGCACTGTGTAAATCTACAGCACCATATAAATAAACTGTAATAATAATAATAATAATAATAATAATAATAATAATAATAACAACAATATCTAAGTAAGTGAATAATGTGGTTCACCTCCAAATATAGAGCAAGAAATAGAGCTGGGGATGTTTAGCCTGGAGAAGAGAAGGCTGAGAGGTGATATGATAGCCATGTTTAAATATTTGAAGGGATGTCATATTGAGGAGGGAACAAGCTTGTTATCTGCTGCTCCAGAGACTAGGACCCAAAACAATGGATGCAAGCTGCAAGAAAAGAGATTCCACCTCAACATTAGGAGGAACCTCCTGACAGTAAGGGCAGTTCGACAGTGGAACACACTCTTCCCTCGGAGAGTAGTGGAGTCTCCTTCCTTGGAGGTCTTTAAGCAGAGGCTGGATGGCCATCTGTCGGGGATGCTTTGATTGGGAGTTCCTGCATGGCAGAATGGGGTTGGACTGGATGGCCCTTGTAGTCTCTTCCAACTCTATGATTCTATGATTATATGCCAAATGTCCAAGCTGGGTTCAGGAAAAGAGGAGGAACTAGGGATCATATTGCAAACATACATTGGATAATGAAGCGTGCCAAAGAATTTCAAAAGAAAATCTATCTGTGCTTTATAGATGATAGTAAAGTATTTGACTGTGTTGATCATGAAAACTAGGGATTATTAAAATGGGTGTATCACAACATTTGATTATCCTAATGTATATATAACCTTTACTCAGGACAAGAGACCACTGTAGGACAGAGTACAGAGAAATTAAATGGTTTCCAATTGGCAAGAGGATCAGGCAAGGCTACATTTTATCACCCCGTCTGTTTAACTTGTACACGGAACATATCATACGTAAAGCAGGATTAGATTCAGTGGAAGGAGGCATGAAAATTGGAGGAAAGAACAACAACAATTTAAGATATGCACATGGTATTTATTGGCAGTTTCCCATCCAAGTATTAACCAAGCCTGACCCTGCTTACCTTCCAAGATCAGATGGGATTTGGTTCTTAAGGGTATTTAGACCTCCACAATATACCATATGCAAAGCTGGATTAGAATCAGAGGAAGGAGGTGGGGGAAATTGGGGGAAGGAACATCAGCAATTTAAGATATCTAGATGGCACCATATTCCTAGCAGAAAATATCAAACACTTGGAATGCCTATTGAAGAAAGTCAAGGAAGAAAGTGCAAAGGCAGGTTTACAGCTTAATATTAAGAAAACAAAAATAATAATTACAGATGATTTACATAACTTTAAAGTAGCCGGTGAAGACAGTGAAGACATCGAAATAGTTCAAGATTTTCCATTCCTTGACTGTCATTAATCAGAGTAGAGGCTGTAATTAAGAAACCAGAAGACTAGGACTTAGAAGTGCAGCTATGAAGGAACTAGACAAGATCCTCAAGTGTAAAGATATATCATTGAATACCAAAGTCAGGATGGTCCATGCCATTGTATTTCCATTTTCCATGTATGTTTGTGAAAGCTGAAGAAGGCTGAAGAAAATCAACTCATTTGAAATGTGGTGTTGAAGAGTTCAACAGATACTGAGGCTAAAAAGACAAATAAATGGGTCCTAGAGCAAATCAAGCCTGAACTCTCCCTAGAAGCCAAGATGGCTAAACTGAGACTGTCATACTTTGGACAAATTATGGTGAGAACACCTGACTCACTAGAAAAGATGATAATGCTTGGGATGGTAGAAGGCAGGAGGAAAAGAAGAAGACTGCATTCTAAATGGATAGATTCAATGAAGGAAGCCACAACCTGGAATCTGCAAGACCTCAGTAGGGCAGTTGAGGATAGGGTGATGGAGGTCTCTCATTCATAGGGTCATTATAAGTTGAAATATTATTAAGGAACTGAGTACAAAAGGTCTTCTTCTTCTTTCCCTGGATCCAGCTACCTAACTGGGTGCTACTCCAGATGGGGCAAATGTGTCAGAACGTTGTGGTATTTGTTGCTGTAGTTTCTGGGAGGTTTGTTTGTTTGGCTATTCAAACTACGTTCAAACTATACATCCCAGGATTCCATAGGATGGAGCCATAACCGTGAAAGCAGTGTCAAACTGCATTAATTCTGCAGTGTGGCAGCAGCCATGGTGGCAACAATAGCTGTCAAACCCCAAGGAGTTATACCAGGAGAAGGCAAACTTCTTTACATCAGTCCGGAAGAGCCCACAGCTAGGGGAAGTACCTTCAGGTATGGCCACACTTACACAGATGAAGGGAGAATAATTGGCAAGTAAGGGGGTGCCTAACCCTTCAAATCTTCATCTGAAGCACTGCCCTACAGTTTTATGACTCTACAATTTTTTACTTGAAGAATGGAAGTGAGTCTCTGGAGTAGGATGGAGCTGGTCTTGGCAAATGCTAGCAAGTGAAAATTGAAATGACTCGAAAAATGAAGGAGTACAGTAATGGCAGGATAAAGATCAGGAGGAAGACTAGTGAAAGAGAGTTTGGACTGATCACAAAAGACTGCCAGCTCTTTCATGAAGCAAAATATTTGGCATCTTCATCATCCCCTTACACACACACATACACAAGAAAATGGAGAGCAAGTAATGATGCAGCCTGTGACAAAAAACTTCACGCATGCATCAGCTGCAATTCATATAAAATACAGATCTGTGCCCCCTTTTAATAGGAAAAAATAATAATAGAATTTTAAAAGTCTCAGGCTGCATGAAGGATAATGTTGCTTTTCCAGTTTTGGGGGGAGGGAAGGCTTTTTCAGCACAATCCATTCCTGAAATCTGACGCATTCCAAAATCTGCTTTCTTTTCTCTCCCTCCCTGACCTTCCCTCTTGCTGGTTTAACAACTTAATTTCCTTTTTGCTTCCATAGCAACACAGAAACAACCTCAGAGCACAATAAGGATGGTGTTGGCTTTTCACAGTTTTCTTGGGCCAAACAGAATGGAAGAAACAAGGTAAATGCTAGAAAAAGTAATAACCAAGAGAGGAGATAACAGAGGACTAAACTTCAGCACAGCCGTTGTGATGTTTCTGTTCATACTTTTAATACAAAACAAAATTATGGACTGATGTCTCTGGTTTACAGCATCATCTAGTTTTATGGTCAGAACTCAGAAGAGGATCTCATAAAATGGAGTAAACTAACCTTTCTGGATGCAAATGGAAAGGCCACTGAATCTGTGTATGTACTAGTTGGACAATGTCCAGTTTATCTTTGTTAAGTCGTGGTACCGGGCAGGTGATCAGAAAGAAACAAGAGAAGCTGGAGGTACATTTTGATCCTGAGGTGAGTATAGTTTTAAAAGTTATCATGTGGCAATGTGAAGTCGTAGGCTTTCATGGCCGGCACCCATAGTTTTTTGTGGGTTTTTCGGGCTGTGTGGCCATGTTCTAGAAGAGTTTCTTTCTGACGTTTCGCCAGCATCTGTGGCTGGCATCTATGCGAGCCACAGATGCTGGCGAAACATCAGAAAGAAACTCTTCTAGAACATGGCCACACAGCCCGAAAAACCCACAAAAAACTATCATGTGGCAGCTTAGTTACTAATGTAGAGGTCACAGCACAATTATTTTCTGTCTACACAGCCTCATGAATATGAAAGTAGTCTGTAACTTTTGCCAGTGCCTGGTTTACAGATTCCTTTGAGAATCTAATAAAAGCTATGGACCCTTCCCATAGAAAAAATGTTATTGTTGTGTGTCTTCAAGGCATTTCTGACTTATGGTGAGCCGAAGGTGAACCTATCACAGGGGTTTCTGAGGCTGAGAGTGTGTGACTTGCCCAAGGTCACCCAATCAGTTTCCATGGCTGAGCAGGGAATCAAACCCTGGTCTCCAAAATCATAGTCTATAAATGTTCAAACCACTACACCACACTGGCTCTCCACAAAAATATATCCATAAACATATACACACAAAATGTTTCATATAGCTTATTTCATTGCATTGGAAATTGATTCACAATTTCCACAAAAATATATCCATAAACATATACACACAAAATGTTTCATATAGCTTATTTCATTGCATTGGAAATTGATTCACTTCACATAGACTAGACTGGAATGAAAGAAATAATAATGAGCACCTGAAATGGCTAAATATTTACCTTAACATTTACCATGACGGGAAAAAGGAAAAGTAACTAAATAAAAGGGGAAAAACTTTTTTGCACCCAGTTCACAGACTGCAAGAAGCCTATCTGTGAACCCCCTAAAGTCTGCGGTCCCCTGGTTAAGTACCTCTTCACCATGGGTTGAATTTATTACAGCTCTTAAGTAGTTTTACACCAAATTCTCAATTATTTTAAGATAGAATGAGAACATCCGAAGCACCAAAATGTAGAAAAGGTTCTTTCTCTATGGACGTTATCACACGGGGTCTAAAGCAGACAGCACCCCGTCCCATCCCCGTCCCATTGCGGTTCCTTTGCCCCTGTGTTCACATGACGTCACAGAGAACCCCCTCCCATCCCCCTCCCATTGTGGCATCATCCCCGTTCTTTTGCATGCCGGTTTCATTGGGAATTACATTTGCGCAACCAGAAGCATACCAGAATGATGCTGCTTTTGTTCATTCCGGAATGATGCTAGTTGCTAGAGACCCACGTGTGGAAACGGCCTATGGCTCTTATTCACCAGTTTTAACCCTGGACCAATGAAGGTAATGTAAGCTCAAATATATCACTTATCCTTGAATTTCTTTCAGAATTCTTGAGAGCCCATTCCATTATTTTCCTTAAAACCAGCTTTAATTTTTTTTAGATCCAGATTAGAGCATTCCAGGAGAAATGTGATTGTTGTCATTTAAAAATAATAACCAGAGGCTAACTTTATAGACACAGGGAAAGCTTTACTCAAGGTTTGTTTGTAATGTTTTCAGTACTGGGAAATAAATGTTTTAGAATGCAGTTTCTGCATTAGAAGAACAATGACGGAGGGGGGAAATATGCTGCTGTGTCAGACTTCTGAAGAGACTAGCTTTGCTCTGTACAGAGAGCACCCAAGGAGAGCACTCCTTTGCTCTGTACAGAGAAATATATGGTCAGAGTTAAGTCTGAGGGCCGAGCAAGAAAATCAGAACCTGGAACTGGCGAGAATCACCAAGCAACAGTGCGGATGAGAGTCGGTCCATGGGGCAAACCAGAAGTCAGGATTAGAAAACCAGAGCAGGTTTACACACCAGAGACAACAAAGGAGAATCGGCATGGATCCAACAATGTTCTCAAATGTTTGGGGGCCTCTTAAGTAGCAACCTGAAAGAGCTGGCCAATGTGATAAAACTTTAGAGGCAGGGCTTACTTTGGGAACAGATCTGCAAATTGCTGTGTTTCTTTCTCAGGGCTATACACACCAGGCAAAGTGCAAGTTCAATGTTACAGATCTTGCTCAGGTTGTGATGCAACTAGGTAGCTTCAGCTGAGGCAAACACAACACATTTTGTGTCCGGGATCACATTCTGCACAACCAAAGCAATAACAGTGTACATACTAGGGAGGAAAAAGATCCTATTTAACCTGAAAATATTTCATTTTATGAGTGCTTAGAGAAGAAAACAGTTAAGTAACAACAGATGGAAAATAGCTGGAATCCTATCTGTAACAAGGGCATATTCATAACATGCATACACATTGTCTGGAGAGGTCTTCTTTAACCACTGGCTTCTGTGGCAATTTATCACATGGTTGTGCCTCAAGACTTGCTCTACCACCCATGTCAGTTTGCACTGAAGGACTACAGTGATCCCCTGTGGAGGCTGAAATCCAAACCATATTTTTGAGGTCCTGGTCTTGTGACTGGTTCATCATGTGCAAGTCACAGGGAAAGACTTTTGCTGACTCCCAGCTGCTCCCAGGTTATGCTGAGACAACCATGTTCATCCCATTACATTCTCTCATGGTCTTATAGTGGATTGCCAAAAGGTCAAATCAAGTGGCTGCGGCCATCATAGTGCACTCTGGAAGCTGCTGGGAATGAGCAGAGTTTGGAAGGTGACATATTCAGAACTGCAACTAATTCCAGCCAGCATGACCATGAGAGGTTCCCGCAGTCTGAGTCAAAAAAGTTAACTTCCAAGCATAGTTTAGCTCTCTTCGGCCGTGTGGTTTATCAGTTATAAGATCAGAGCCTTTAGGTACAAGTGACATTCATAACAAAACTGTAGCTTGTGAATAATATGCTGTTTGAATTCCTAAATACCATCCTAAAGTAATTTATTCTGTCTCCAGTTTCCATCTTCAGATTGAGTCTAAGAAATAAACCTCATGGTGAGAACATCTGGCCAGATTTTGGGACTTTCCCTGTCCCCTTTCCAGTTCCTTGGTTTATGTACCACCTAACCTGAGTTAGAGCTGTGTGAACTCCAAAGCCTGCACACTCTTTTTGTGACAGGTTGGCTGGTTTTAATACAGACATTCCCTGGCTGGATTTAGGATCCATCTTATTTAGATAATTTGTATGGTGGAGCATCTCATTTTAAAGCTGGGAAAGAGGGCATGCAGGGAAGACTCCCTTCATATGTCCTCTTTTCTACCACTTCTGGGCCATTGGTAGCCTGGTCCTATTACAAACCAGGACACATGGACTCTTTGTTATTTATGATGGTGCTCTGTGACTGGGTTAAATTAACCTATGCCAGAGTGTGGAACCCATGGCACTGCATATGTTGTTGGACTACATTTCCCAACATGTCTGACCATCGACTATACTGGGAGGTGAAGTCCAATATATGGGGGCTCACAGTTTCCCTCCTCTGCCCAAACAATGTGGGAAGGATGGAAATAGACATGGGGGCATTTTTTAAAAGCCTCCCTTTCTTGACTTTTTTGTTGCTGTTGCTCCAAGCTACTACCTCTTCTCTCAGACCTTGTCCTTGCCTCATGCCTACCTGAATACACCCAGTTATTTCTGATTCTGAAAACTAGGCTTGGTTAGTATTTGGATGGAGGACTCTAAAGAAATTTCAGGGGTCTGAAATCCTGCCAATGATTTGGCTGATTATAAGGCAGCTGCCCATGTTCTTACCTTGTTGTAATCAGTATGTGTCAGTCTGCACTGCACAGATGTAACAGTTTGATGTCACTTTAACTTTCATGGCTCTGCACTATGACTCCTGGACTTTATAATTTGGTAAGGTACTTAAAATCCACTGTTAAAGGTCTCTAGTGCCTATGGAAAATTCTAAGTACTTAGACAAACTAAAAACCCCAGAGTCCCATAGGATGGAGCCATGACAATTAAAAGTGGTATGAAACTGTGTAAATGTGTAGTGAAGATGTACCTTCAGTCACGGTTAGACCTGTAACTCTGGAGACAGTGAGATGATAGCGGATTATCTGGATCCATTTCAACTGGCCTTTCAGTTGCAATATATCTGTGGACCAGATGGGAAAAGCAAAGCATAGCCTTAGCAGAGGATTCATAAACCTGGGGCCTGTAGGGAATCCTTGGATGGACTTCAGAGGTATCATGAAATGGGTTAAAATTATTTTTCTGAGGGGAAGGGTCCAGTAGCATTCATTAGATTCTCAGAGGGGTCCACAACCAAAAAAGGGTTAAGAATCACAGCTCTATCCATTCTCCTGGACTGCTTGGTGCTTTTAGCATCACTAACCAAGGTATCTTCCTGGTTGCCAAATCTGAAAGATCTCAAGTATGGGAGTGCTCTGAAAGGTGTATGTTCAAGTGAGTAAATTTGTCAAGCTTCCCTTCCTAATATCCACCTGGTGATTGCCTACTTCTCCTCTTTATCATCTTAGGATTACTTGAATTGGACGTCTCCTGAAACCCATTCCCGTATCAGTCGACTGCTAGATAACAGTCAGGTTGTGGAGGGACCCTGGAGACTGCAACTTCCTAAAACCTACAGCACCAGAACAGGTGCCTTAGTTCTCTACTCTGAAGATCTAGCCAAACCATCAAAGAGATGGAAACAATGCAGAAAGTCCCCAAGAAGAGCAGGAAACAAAAGCCAGACTCTGCATGTAGAACTTCAGACTCTCCAAGATTTGGCTTGCGCCATCTTGGCATATGGTGGAAAAGAGGTAAGAGATCACTAGCCATTCTGGCTCATGAATAACAATAGCAATAGCAAGTACAATTCTATACCTCTTATCAATGGACTTAAGCACTCCCAAAGTGGTTTACAACTGTAAGCTAATTGCCCTCATTAAGCTGAGTACTCATTTTAGCCACCTACGGAAGGATGCAAGCCTGAGTTGAGAATGAGCCCCTGTCTGGTATTGAACTCACAACCTTGTTTTTTGTGAGTGACTGGCTGCAGTACAGGCATTTAACCACTGCACCACCAGGGCTCTTCTATGAATGCATACTTGACATACTTCTGATATGAAATAAAAGTGTTTATTAACCTTTTTTGGATCATGGGTCCCTTTGAACATCTGATTTTGGAAAAAAATAAGTACTGGATTTGTTTATTGTTTAAAAAAAATATCATAGCCAAGACTAAACTACACATCTCTTTAACAAAATAGTGTGCAGGTGAACCATATTTTAGTTTTGTCTAATTTGGATCAGATCACTGTGTGAAGATGGGAGATGCTTAGCTACCATTCCCAACCACTTCCCCTTTAAATTCTTCCTCTTTTCATATGGAGAGCTAAAAAAACCCATCCATTAGTTTCTTTTTTTTTTTTAAACCACCTCTGAATGAGGGGGTATATTTAAGGGGAAACAGGTATAGGGAAAATATTTTAAAATCCCTTTCTACGTAAATGGACTCAGTTTGCATATACCTGTTTAGAAATGAGAGGAAACTTAGGGTCTATGCAGACGGGCGGCTCTGGGCCACCCCTGCTAGCAGTGGATTGGGGCCATGGCAACCCTAGTGAAGCGATAAAGTCCTTTGACTGTTATGGCTCCA